CACCTTATTATCTTCCAGATGTTTGCAGATGAATTCCTGAATTATTTGCTCCATTATCTTCGCTGGCATAGAAGTTAACTGACTGGTCTGTAGTTTCCTGTGTTGTTCTTATTTTCCTTTTTATAGATGGGCACTATATTTGTCCTTTTCCAGTCTTCTGGAATCTCTCCCGACTTCCATAATTTTTTCAAAGATGATGGCTAACGGTTCAGATACCTTCTGTATCAGCTCCTTGCTATATTTCATCAGGCCCTGGGGACTTGAAGACCTCTAACTTTTCTAAGTAATTTCTAATTTGTTCTTTTTTTTTATTTTAACTTCTTTCTAAACTTACCTCATTTCCATTAGCATTCACTTTTCAATGGCTTTCAGCACTGCCTCTATAAAACTTGTTCCAGCACCCCTCGATGACACCCTGCAAATTCCCCTGGAAGAAGTGCAGGATTCCTATCACAAGCTCTGGGCATATTGCACACTTCCATCTCAGAACAGGTAGCACTGCCTATAAACTAAACCCTCCTTGAACCAGCGAGGTCCATCTGGCAAACTCCAGCAAGGCCCTTCCCTCTACATCAATTCTTTCTGACCCTCCAAAATGTAAGAGGGCTGATTAAAACAACCAACCAACCAACCATATGTCCCAGGATTGTGAGTTTTGATTTGTTTATCAAACTCCAAATTGTTTGGTTGTAGATTCAGTCAATGACAGGGTTGGACAACAGACTCAGCAAGACACCCCTTATAATATAGGCCAGCAATATCAAGACTTCTTTGATCCCGAGAGCTACTCATCTGCAACGCATCAATTCAGGATAGCTAAAATACTAGGCACTGATATTAAAATATGACTGCCTGGACTACAAGAAGTTTAATGCTTTTATTGACTGTTCATCACAGGAACATTGAGAACACTTCAATGCCATAATAAAGGAAGGTCAGCTCATTGCAATATCTTCACTGCAAACTTCATTCAGTGCTGTGGACACTGCAAGTAAGCCTGTTTCCACTGTATCAGTGATGAGGTGAGCTTCCTGGCTTAATTTGTCTGTGTTTCTGTAGGAGGTACAATTTACCATAGTGGATAAACCTTTCAATGGCCAGAAATTTTGCAGATTCAACCGATGACTCCTTCCTACCTTGAAGGACTATAGAACAACCCTTAGGTCTTTGAGAATATGTATGTTTTCAAATAAAAGACAGTTTTGGAAGTCTCAGTCAACACAAAGATCCAACCCTTCTCAATTTTCCACCAGCTAAAAGGTTAAGATTTTTCAAAGAAAAGCCTGCAACTACCTCATCCTAATCTTCAAAATCATCCAAACACCAGTTTTGATGGTTTGGTCATGAATCCAGACCCCACCCAGTGACTGACATTTCTCAGGTCCTACTGTTTGGCTCATCATCATCCCTAAGGATATTTTAATAAATTATGGCATTTATAGCTGCCTACTTCCATTGTTTAGAAATAACTGTCTTTCTCTAACAGGACTGCTGTCTCCTCCAGGGGTAGTCATATCAGGAGGTTTGATCAGCAGTTCAAACAGTAACTTTACTGTTCCAAAGCCTAGGCTTGCAGAAATCTTGAGAAATGAATATTGACCCCTTCTGCAATTAATTCTGTTTATTGGAACGTTTTTTGATTTGATAGTGGGCTGAGCTTATTTTCTTTCAATGGACTCCTTTTTCTGATGGAATTAGCCAAAGAGTGTACATCAAACCTCCAGTTCCAGCAAGAACATGTCTGCAACTGCTGGGACATATGGCAGCTCGCATATTTGATGTCTGAAGAGATGGCTCAGGACAATTTTATTATCCAACAGTAACAGATTTCATGAAGTCCAAGGCAAATAGGCAAGTGTTGTTCACATTTTGGTTATCAATTTGTTGAGGTTAAGAGGTCAGAAATACTTCAATCCACTTTCTTTCCCCTATTCAAAAGGAAGTTCATCAAGATCGCGACAGACAACATAGGATGCATGCATACATTAATCATCAAGGTTGAACACATTCCCCACTCTGCAGTGAAGCAATACAGCTTTGAAACTGCTGTCATATTGGCTTCTTATTTCCCAGTGAAATAAAACACCATTGTGGACATCTTCAGCAGACATTTCTTGTTAAATTACTGTGGGAATTGAAATCTCAAGTACTCAAAAAATTTTCCTAGCTTTAGGATTTCCAGAAGTCCTCCCCTTTGCCATGATAGTCAGCACAAAGTGTAGGAAATTCTGTTTCAGATGAGCACTCATGTCTCAATCTTTAGGTGAAATTTTCCTTATTACAGAGATAAATGGTCTCTTTTATGCATATTCTCCAACTCTATTGCTCTTAAAAATCCTTATCAAGACCAGACAGGACTAAGCCAAAATAGCTTTGCATGCACCAACTTGACCAAAACAAGACAAGTTTGGTTTCTTTACTTCATCAAACTTACTTCCCAACCTCTATGGTGGCTCCCCATCAAATCTTAACTGTTGTCTCAGAATGCTGGTCAGACATTTCACCCCTAACTGAAAATGGCTCTTGGAACTAGAGGCTGTGTATTTCATTGTAAGTTCAAAATATACTTTAAAATAGGAAAAAGGAATCTATGAGACCGTCAGAAATGGAGATTATATAATCTTTTGGTATAACTTTTGGAATTTTTTCTCCTATCCAGTCATCTCTTTCCTCAGTCTTGGATTACCTGTTGGAATTGAAAAATTCAGGCCTTGCTAGAAGTTCCATCAAGAAACATTTAGCAACAATAACAGCTTCACATGTGCCAGTGGAGGGGAAGGTCTTTTGATATTCATTCATCTGACTACTGTAATATTCTTAAATATTTTCCCGCAAATTAGACCCCTACACTGTATGGGATTCTTAGCCTTGTTGTTAACTATCTCATGAAATAGCCAGTGGCTCAAGGAGCTATGTGCTCACTGCTACATTTGTCTATGAAGACAGCCTTTTTGGTAGCCATCACTTCTGCTAGAATGGTTGAGGGCATGGGGACTCTAATGGCAGATCCTCCTTTTACTTAATTCTCCAAGGTATCTTTACAACCTCATCCACATTTTTTACCTAACATGTCTTCTGAATGTCACATCTTTCAAACTGGAAGGAAAATGTGAACACTTTTAACAAAGTCACATCAGTCTACATAGGAATCTTCCTTTCATACACAGATGTTAAGCAGGCATTAGTCTTTTACTTGGACAAAGCTTGGCCATTCCGGAGGACCCCTAGACTCTTAGTTTTTATTGCATAGTTGTTACCCTAAATCTATCTTCATTCAAAAGCTTTCTAACTAGATCTTGAGATGTTTTATGGACTATTGTGGTTTCACTGAGGTTACATTCTATTAGGCTATGTCTAGACTACGTGGAAGATTCGAAAGAGGATATGCAAATTCTGCGGAAATTTGAAACCCCTCTTTTTCAAAAAACCTCTGTTCCTCAAAAAATGTGGTTTACATGGCTTTTCAAAAAGGGGGGTTGCTGAAAAAGCCACATCCGACTACTTTCACTTTCGAAAACAGAGCAGAATTTGCATATCCTCTTTCGAATCTTCCGCGTAGTCTAGATAAGCCCTTATAGTATACATCTGTATCTCTATTCAGACATTCTGAAGGGCTATAACATAGTTCACTCTGCACCCATTTTCCAGCCACTGTGCCTTAGTTCGTGCTGCAAGATCAGATGCTACAGTAGGCACCACAGTTCTTTCTTCAGTGATGAACTCCTCCAAAATGCCAATGTCCTTAAAGAGTTACAGTAAGGGAGTCACCAAAAGTGGAGAACCCACAGGGCACTACTTGCCACTACCTGCTCTCCTCCCTGCTGTTTGGAGCTGCCACTGTGGGTTTTTCAGTGGTGTAATAATGGAGAGAATGTAACTGTGCAGCCCTATGTAGCCTCACTATAGAGCACAAGGATGTGTAAGGTGCATGAGTGACCTGAAAGGGCACTGCTACCCAAAATCCTTTGATCAAAGGCACAGGGTTTCATGTGTACCTAAAGCAGAGCACCCACAGCAGCATGCGTCTCAAAGAACTTGGGTTACTGCACCAAAATAAGTAACATCTCCTTTTAAGTTATTGAGAGACTAATTGTCTACATATTTCTTCATGTTTGGTCCCAATATATAAACCTTTTTCTCACTGATACATGCAGAGAGACAAATATAAAGGCAAATTCTTTGAATGGGGGAGTTTCCTGCAGACCCACTTCATTAACCTTCTTCAGTATAATGTAAATTTTTGCCATTATACCCAAAGGCCAGTATGGACTCCATCCAGGGCCCTGTAAATGCTCATAGTCTGTAATATCCCCTCTCTGTCACATTGGAGCAAATGGAATCTTCTCCTGCCTTGCTTTAGTTGGGTATAAGATGGTTGGAACAAAAATTGCTAGGAGAAGTCCTTTAAAGCTAATGCAGGTTAATTGACCAGGGCCCTGAGACTTGCCCTGTATGTTATGTACACGTGACATGTTTTGGTGATGTGATTTTTTTATGTGAGCAATTGCTGGAGCTGCTGTAGGGATGGGATACAACAGGGAAGGGGAATGAGGCACAAGGAGACAGTGGAGGTAAGGGATGACAGGGCTGGGCAGGAGCAGCAGAAACAGAGGGGATGCAGAGTTAGCAAAGGATGCCACCCTCTGCCCTCATGTCTTAATACAGAGGTGGCATCCATAGCAAAGGCACCCACTTGATCAAGCTAGAAGGGGCTATTCAGCATACCACTTGTAATAACATGTATAGAGTGAAAGAGTGGAGAGATTAACATGTGTCTCTGTTTCTGGGGTGCTCTGTAATTACAGATTCTGGAGCTTGTCCGAGACAATACTGCTGGAAGGCAAGGACGTAACAGAGCTCTAATGGAATCAGGCAATCCCCTTGTTCTAGGTACCATGAAATTGCTGTGGAATCCTTTCCCTCTGGGCAGTGTCTATGTCTTAGCACTTGAAGTTTCATAGAGAAGCAGAATGATGGGTAACTAATATGCTTATTTGCAGGAAACAGAGCAGATGGTTCAGACAAGATCAAAAAGAAATCAGGAAGAAGAGGAAGAGGAGGGTGTGAATGCTGAAGGTTTTCAGGACTTTGTTACCAAGGCAAGGTAGGAATGAACTTTTACCCCTTGTAACAATGTATCACATTACATCACTTCTGCTCTTATACTGTCCCGTCCTACCTCCCTAAACTGCTGTTGTCTCATTAATGTCTCCAGCATGAAGTGTATGATGGAAATTTTTGCCACTATACCCAAAGGCCAGTATGGGCTCCATCCAGGCTCATAGTAAATGCTGTAAATGCTCATAGTCTGTAATATCCCCTCTCTGTCACACTGGAGCAAATGGAATCACTTCTTGGAAGGAAAACAAGCCAGAGCTGCTGCTGAGATTTTCTGTGGTTCAGCTTCCTTTATGAATTTGCTTATCAAATTCCTGTCTTCAAAAGGACATACCATCCTTGCCATCGTTCCTTAATTCCAGGTATCATCTAGGACTATGCCTACTAGGATGTGGAGTGAAGTGAAGCACACTCCTTGCCATGCCCATGGCTTCTTTCCCTTTCTGCTAAAACAGTTAATTGTGAGCAGTTCATTAAGGTCCAACACTCTGTAGTTTTATAAGGCTCACATTTGACCAGCCTTAAACTTGCTAGAATCTGGTAGGAAAAGGTTATTGTAAACAAATTAAATCCTCAGGGTGGTATGAAAAACAATACAATATTACATTCATGTGATTATATTCAACTAGAAGATTTATCTGACGTTGCTCAGGTCCTTAACTCAATTAATTATTTTTTTGTTGGAAAAAAAATGAATATGTACATGCTTCATTTGTATCATGCCCTGGAGTGGGGCGGGGGATGAGGGGTTCAGTATGTAAGGAACCCCAGGAAGAGAGGGCTACCCCAGCCCTTACTTATGACAGCACCTTGGAACCAGGTGAGAAGCACCTCTCTACAGCTGCAACAGCTCAAGTGGGCACAACGTAGGCTACATCTAGACTACATGCCTCTGTCGCCAGAGACATGTAGATTAGGCTACCAGACATAGTAAAATGAAGCGGCGATTTAAATAATCGCCGCTTCATTTAAATTTACATGGCTGCCGTGCTGAGCCGACAAACAGCTAATCAGCTGTTTGTCGGCTCAGCGCGATAGTCTGGACGCGCGGGTGACGACATCAAAGGTATTTGTCGACCACCCAGGTAAGCCTCCTGGAATGAGGTATACCTGGGTGGTCGACAAATACCTTTGATGTCGCCACCTGCGCGTCCAGACTATCGCGCTGAGCCGACAAAACAGCATGCAAAAGAAGCCTTCTCATAGACTTCAAAGGGCTTTGGAGATTGTGAAACAAATCCAATACTGGACTCAGGGTATCAGCTGTTTGTCGGCTCAGCGCGGCAGCCATGTAAATTTAAATGAAGCGGCGATTATTTAAATCGCCGCTTCATTTTCCTATGTCTGGTAGCCTAATCTACATGCCTCTGGCGACAGAGGCATGTAGTCTAGACGTACCCTGAGGGAGGGGTACACGTCCCCCAGCTGGAGCAGGTCCAAGTTTGTCTGCCCCTTGTGCTCCCCAGCCACAGTGAGGAATACAGCAAACTGTGCGCTTTCCCCTTGCTTCCTGATGAAGGGGAACAGCCAGCAATATATCTGTACAAACTGAGAGGAGGAGCTTCAGCTATGCCCCCCTCATCCTCCTTAAAGGATGCCTGTGGTATGGGAGGCTCAGGACTGGGGCAGTCCTGGAAGGGGACACGCTCCCAGTCAACCCCTTTCACCTGCCTAGTGATTGTCTCTTTTCTGTGTGATTTTATAAGAAACCATTTTTCTGTATAGTTTTATGAGAAGCAATTCCATTCCAGGCACATCCCATTTTGCTGGCACAACCAAACCCTTGCCTTACTTTAAGTTATGATAAGTGGAAGCTGTATGCCAAATTTGGTGGTTTTAGCTCTTACTGTTTAGGAGGGGATCGTGAACAGACAGACAGACAAGTAGACAAACTCTCTCAAATACAGGTTGCATCTTTGTAAACTGGAACTCTCTGGTCCAGCAATATCCATGGTCCAGAAGAGCCATGGATGTTCCAGAATCAGGGAGTCCTGGTATGTTGCAGGAAGCAAGGGGGCTCGGAGCCTGATGCTATGCTGGAGGAGGGATGATGCACAGATCAGCTGGGCTGTGGGGGCGGAGCTGTGACCGGGAGCTGGTGGGGGCCAGCATGCAGTGGTGGGGGAGGGTAGTTGCTCATCTGGGCTGCAGGGGTAGCCAGGAGCCCAGTGGGAGGATAGGGGAGGGGGAGCAGCAGCAGGGAGGCCAGAAATGACCTTCCCTGGTCCGGAAAAACCACCTCATCTGGGACCAGTCAGGTCCTGAGGTTTCTGGACCAGGGAGGTCCAACCTGTATATCGTAGATTCTAGAAGAGAGCCAGAGATGAGATATTTCTTCTCCAAGACCTCTCAGGTCCTCTGGGAAAATTTTATACTGGCTCCTTATTTAGTTCCTTATTTAACCATATTGACAGACTTCTCACAACTTCATGGGGGCCAGATGCTACAGAGGAGAACATTTCTTACTAATACACTCTTCTAAGAGAGCTAAGGTGCGTCTCCACTTCCTTTGTCATAACCGATTGTGGAAGTTATCTCTCTTTCATATCTGACCAACACTGATAGTGAATTACTGAATTTGAATGAGGAGAAGGTAGGGGTGATATTATCTAAACCTCTGTTACTGATCAGGAAGCTTCAGTGTCTTCTCCACCTCCCTGATGATATCAAGATGACTATCTCTTTTACTTTCTGATGACGATAGTTACAAGAATTAGTGATTCAAATGGTAGATTGTTTAGAGTAGGAGATTACTGTGTTCCAAAAAAATGTTTATCACCATAGTGCAGAGGAAGAGTGTATCTAGACAGAGGCGCTATTTCGGGATACTTTCGTTATCCTGAAATAGCTGTTCCATGTCTTGACAGCGTGCCCGTTACTTCGAAATATCTTTTGAAATAACGGGCTTGCTATTCCGATGTGCCTGTAAATGTTGTTCCACAAGGATTAAGGAACGTTTCAGAATAGCAGTTCATTTCTAAATTTGGCGCTGCGTAGACAGCACCAAATTATGAAATAAGCTATTTAAAAATTAACTTGAAATAAGCTATGCAGTTTGTGTGGTTCAAATTGCATAGCTTTTTTTAAGCTAAGGGTGCAGTGTAGACACACCCAAAGGAAAGTGTCTCAGAATATTAGGATCTACTTCTGCTGTTACTTAGACAGCAGATTGCTTGTTCCTGGCCCCACAGCACTTTTGGTTCTTTGATGGTCTCTGGGGGCAGTAAAAAGACTGACTTTGGAGTTGTTCAGTTTGCAGTCTACTCCTTTGGACAGGGATGCTAAGAAAATTCATGTATTGGGCAGAAATGTGTTCTCTTTAGGAATATTGGGAGCCCTTGTTGCAGTTACCAGGCTGTTGCAGCCAGATATTATCTGTAGCTTGGAAGTAGGCACTTTTTTACTGGCCCCGTCTGCCTGCTCTTACACTGTCCTGTTTCCCCAAACTGATGTTGCATCATCAGTATCTGCAGCATGAAGCGCATGCTGGATATTTTTGCCATTAGATCTACAGGACAATGGCAAAAGACATTACTGCTGAGGGTTGAAAAGTTTCTAGGCATGTTCTCTCTGTTTCATATACATAAACATATACATAAACTATAGTGGAAAACATTACCGTGCATGAGTATTTCCAGTTTTAAAACATCTCGTCTGTTTCCTGCAACTCAAGCCATCCTTGTTGATGATGAGTGCTTGTTCTGTAACATAATCAGACACACACCAGAGACAATGGAAGCTAAGAGTTACCACTTGTTAATTAGAGTTTATCCAACAGTCCCCTCATAACCTTGGTGCCATTTATGTATGTATTTGTTTTATTTAGAAGTATATGCGTACTCAGAGATTGCCTAGTCATAGGCTTTCAACAACCTTGACACAACTTAAAATATAACAAAAATTAATACCCAATCATAATTGTTTAGTACAACTCACTGTAATCTACTACCAACAAACCAGAGAATCCAAAAACTTAAATCACCCTTCCTTCCACCAGTTTGTCGCCCTTACATATTCCTACTCTTCAGATGTCTGAGAGAAAAAAGAGCCCTGAGGGTCAAAAGACTTATCCAAATAGGTGGTTCTTTCCCCCAAAGCTCAGTGTTACCAGTGGCACACCCCGTAAGTGTGAATATGCAAATGGTATTTTGCACAATTGACAGCCAGCAGTAATTACTTTACCTTACTGGACTGTGATGTGTTGTGACTATTGCTGGCAGTACCCTTCTGCTGGCTTGCTTATCCTGTGTGCAATTGTCACTTTCTAGGATGCAGACCAGTGAGGACTCTCAGCCCCCCCTGCTATAACCACTAGACCCCATTCCCTTTTCAGAATCAGGCTAGCATCCAGTCGTCCTGGCTTCCCGCTATAATCACTAACTGTCCTGCAATCTTTGGTGCCTCACAGTGCTTTGCTGTTGTATCTTCCCAACTGGCTTGGTCACAAACAGCATACAGGTCACATCTTAAGTGTTTGTATATAGCTATAGCCCTGGTCTTGTAATTCTAACTTCCTGCCTGTCAGCAGCCCAGCAGTCACACTCTGGTTTCCAGTGCCTTGGTTGCTACCTGCTGGGTGACTCCAACATATTCCCAGCCCCCAGTTTTTCCCAAAATCATGTGTTCTACACTGTCCAGTCTTCTCCTGGGGAGCTCAGCTATTAGAAGTCCCCTTTATGTGGTCAATCTGCAACAGTTTGCTACTTTAACTGGAGTTATCCAAACAAGTCAGTTTTTACATGGTACTCAATTTGTTTTGATGAAAAAAATAAAACAAGTTTATTTAACTACAAAGAGAGAAATTTTTAAGGAAATTCAAGTACACAGCATTAAAATCAGAAATGGTTACAAGAGAAATAAAGATAAAATATTTTCTAATAGCTAACACTTAACAAACTGGATTTGGTTCAGGGTAAAATCTTTATCATATGCTTCCAGCTACGTTTTGGACTAAAATTCCAAAACAAGATCATCTCCCAAAATCAAAGGGCTAGTTCCTTTGTCGTGTTAGGTGGAAAGAGAGAGATCTTGGAGTGTGTTTGCCCCTCCCTTGTATAGTCCAGTCCTCCTTTGAAATGCATTTTTCTGAGGGTAACAGCTAGATTAAGTTCCTTCCTCTTGTGAGTACACATGTATGGAATCTTGGGTGAAAGAGGCTCCATGTTGTTGCTTGCTAAAATGCAAGTCCATCTATTTCTGTCCCATTTAGTAGCCAAAGAATGGCCACTTGACAGGTAATTGCCAATCAACTTTGACACCTGGCTCAAAGCATTAGCTTATCCTTTGTCTTTTGGGAACAGGTTTACCACCTCTCCAGTCATGTCATGTCTGATAAACACACTGCAGTCATAATTTCAGCTTGTGTTCATAACTGTACATATAGTGATCCTGCATTATTGACCAGTGAGTTACTACTTTTCAGATGATATCTCACAAGATATATTTTATACAAAATATATTACAGTATTATATAGGGTTGCATTTGGCAACAGCCATATTACATGATCATGAGATGATGCTGAAGCAGCATCAAAGATCAGGAAAGGAAAGGAAAATAGCTATTCATGATACTAGAAATACAGCTCAAGATTGCTATGAATTGAAAGCTGAATGACTGGCACTTGTCCCAGATGTGATAGAGGCCTATGACACTGGGATAGGATTTTATTTAATAATTTTATAACCAAGAAAATAATAAAAAGAAGTGTGAAATATTTTTGTGGGACCCATAAAAATGTTGACTGCTTCCCTTGGTGATTCTGTGAAATTGGTTATTTAGTGGGCTTTCCTGTTACTCTTGGAATAAATCTCATTAATGTTTAATATAAAACACAGGTCATGCTGAAGTCTGTTACAGTATTGATGGCACTAGGTTTGGTGAGCACCTGAGCGAGCACTTGTGGAATCTTGCTAATGACAGCTGCTTAAAACTGAACCCCCCTCTTATCTAAGACAACTTCCCAAAAACAGCATATAAGGTTTGCACTGGCTCTCTGTTTAGTCTTGGAAGGTTCCTGAAGTCCCTGGGTTTTCCCGCACACATCCTGGGAGTGGCACCTGAACAGGAGTCTTTCTGAGCTGTTCTCCACAATACAGACTTGAGCATGTTCTAGTTCCAGACATTCCAGTAATTTCTCTGGCTTCTTGTTCCTCTTCAGCCTGATGATCTGTTTGCATTGTGATTCTGAAGCAATAGCAGGAGCTCATAGAAGCCTCATATAGGCCCTTTCTTTTCCTCTGTCTCAGTGAGAGTGACCTGGAGGAGGTGCTGACATATTATACACACAAGAATAAATCAGCAAGTGTTTTTCTGGGAACAAACTCCAGGACCACAAAGCCTAGCAGCAGCATCAGGCAGCCAGAAAGCAGGGCTCAAGGAGGTAAGTGCCTTGTGCAGTACTGAGACAGAGAGCTTACAAGAAACAGGGGTTGGCTCTGGTGACCCCATATAAAGTTGAGAAGAAGGTGGAACTCAAATGGGGCATTGTCTAGGTTGAAGTAGGAAGCCCAATAACGAGATGAGGAGCCTGAGTGTGATGAGTATGACACTGTCATGATAGGTTGTCCTTGCATTGGTAAGGGTGCAGAGCAGCTCAGAGCAGATGGGTCTGATAGCTGAGTGATTAGTGATTCCAACATAAGGAAGGGGTAGGTTTCTAGCTTGCAGTCTGCATTAGCTAATGCTGTGAATCAAGCCAACAGACAGTGATAATAGAAAAAGGTAGGCCACAATAAATATTAGGAAGAGACTCCAGTGTGTGTGCGGTATTCAGACCCTGAAGTCCATTTCTCATGGTACAAGCAATTGAAATTGTTCTGCTTCCTGACTTTGAAAATTCATTTCAGATCTTCCTGAGAAGGTGGAAGACGTTAAAAGGAATCAGCCCCAACATTCAGTGACAGACTCAAGTGGAGAAGGAGAACTGAGAAGTTACAAGCCCAAAGAAGCCAGGCCATCTGGTAAATCAGGGATAGAGAACCTAAAGCCCAGGGGCTAAATGTGGTCCCTGGTTTGCCTGGATCTGGCCTCTGAGGCTCAAGGCTCCCCCCTCCCAGCATTGGAGAGTCCATGCTGGCACTCCAGCCTCTCTGTTACCCCCCAGTGGGGATGGAGCACCTAAAATCTACTGGTCTGGGTCCCTGGAGGCTCTGGTGTGTGAGGGGAATATGAGGGAGTGTCTTTCTCCTTCTCAATTGGGTAAGGGTTTGGCTGTTGGGGTTTTTTTGGTTTGGCTTTTTTGCATCTTGTTTGTATGTACCCCTGATTGATTTTCTGTGCGTCAGCAGCATCCGACCCTGAAAAGTTCCCCTGCCCCGGATAAGTGAACCCATCCAAACCAAGGCAGGGGTAGTTCTGCAGTGACCGAGGCAGAAGCTGAACCTCCTGAGTAGATTTAAAACTACTTTGAGTAACTACTCTAGTCAGACTCTAGATGCAGAACAAGCTGAGAGTCTCCCAGTCCTGGCTCTGGGGGAAGATTACTGGGTGAAGAAATAAACTCTTCTGCAATTAAAGATCTCTGCAAGATATTTTGAGCCTTGGAAAAGGATATGCCTGAATCAGATCTTGGTTCTTGTCAGCCCTTGTTGGTGGATGAGGTTTTTTTTGGCTTCCTTCAGGCCAATAAACACAGCCCCTGGGCCTCATTGCTGTTGTCTTTGGGGCTCTGGAAAATTGCTTAACTTATGTAACATTCTGATTAGTTTGTTTGTATTGTTTTAACAGGGCCCCCGTCTTCCACGGAAAATGAGTCAAAATTACTCGGGTGCAATCCCCCTAATGCTTCCTCCTCTGTTTCTGGTTCCTCGATCCAGAGAAGCATCAGTTCCCAGCTGTCATCTCATACCACAGCCTCGAAAATCACACAGGTGCCTGGTCACCACTCTTCCCTGGTTCTGCTAGCTGGCTCAAAACTGACTCAGTCCCCATCCTCCCCACCTTCTTTCCAGAGCACAGTCCCTGACAACTGGTCTGTCTCCACAAATCCAGTGTCCCACCAGACGTCTAGCCATGCAGGGTTGCATCGTTGTCGGTCTAGCAGCTATACCATTGCACCCTTCTCGTCATTTCAAAGTGCTACTCAGATCTACAGCCAAAGACTATCCCGACCATCCTCTGCTAAAACAGGTGAGTGTGCTGGGATGTGTGAACATTTAATTGGGCAAATCCTGTCTTTTGTCAGTCAAAGTTTTTTTAAGAATTCATCATACTGTCCTTTTGTCCCTATGGCTGCAGTGATCAGTCTCAAGTTGGCTAACCCAGTTACCATGAAGAGTAGAGTACAGGCAACGTAATGACAACTAAGGCTGCTCAGTCAAGGCAAAGTGTATGTCATCTTTACCAGCTCTGGGATAGCCAGAAATGTATAATTTTCAGAGATGTGAATTTAGCTCCTTTCACCATTTCTGCATTCTTTTTTGAGAGAAAGAAACCTCTCCTTGCTCATAATTTTTTTTTTTGTGCTGATGAATGGGGAATTGAACTGGTTCAGTCAGCATGGAATGGAGAGGCTTTCACCCCAAATAGCAGTGGGAAATGATATATGTGAGAAGGGGTAGTTGTATCCAACCACACAACTGATGCATAATCAACACATGGTGATCTCTTATTGTTAACCGTTTTCAGGGCAGTTTCAATAGTATAAAAGTCCTCTATGGGGCTATACAGGGTTCTTGTTGCTAGGGATTCCTATCTTTTCTCCAGGAGATTTATCAGTAGAAGTAGCAGTTAGTCACAGGTTCAGAGAATGGTCAAGGCCTCCAAGTAAAAACTGAATGGGTCGGTGTTTGAGGCAGGGGTGGGCAATCCAAGATTTTGGTAAATGGTCAAGGGCCACACTTTTTGATGGAGGGAGTGTGGGGTTTGGGAGAGAGGATGGGTGCAGAAGGGAGCTTGGGATAGGAGACTGGGGTGCAGGAAAGGCAGAGAAAGTAAAGGATGGAGTTATGATCTGGGGCAGAGGCTTGGGGTATGGGATCATGGAGGGGGTATAGGGCCTGGGGAAGGGGCATAGGAGAGGGTGCAGGGTCTGGGAGGGTGTTGTGACCTGGGGGAGGGGAGGTGCTGAGGGTTTGGATGATGACCTGGGGCAGGAAGGGGTGGTGACCAGGGACGGGGAGTTGGGGAGTGGAAGAGACTGGGATGCCAGAGGCAGGCTATGGCCTGGAGACGCTTACCTAGGCAGCTCCCAGCCAGGAGCCCTGCAGGACCCTGGGGCAGGCTCCTTACCTGCCACAGCCCAAGGCTGCTCAAAATGTGACTTCTCCCTGTGGCTTTCTGTTCTGGGCACCAGAGGGGCGGGGAGGCTTCATGTACAGCTTCTGTCCCCCAGCAAAATCTCTGAGTTCCCATCTAGTCAATGGGAATTGAGAGATTTTTACCATAAGGTGGGGGCAGCACACAAAGGCTGTGTCTACATTGGCACCCCTTTCTGGAAAAGGGATGCTAATGTAGACTTCGGAATAGCAAAATCCGCGGGGGATTTAAATATACAAACAACTTTAGAAACAACTTTCCTCTGCACACTTGGCTTCCAAACATCCACTGACTTTCTGGGATGGAGTACAAGAATATCTTCACTCTCTCTTAATCCCCATACCTTTGCTGCTCCAATTCCAGTCACTGCTCTAATACAGATAATTAATAAATGAGAACAAACAGCCAATGTCCGTTGAAACTGGGTTCCATTAGCTGTTTTATCCTGAGGTGCACGAAGATTCAGTATTGACATGGAGAAGCTGAGATGTGCACAGTGTTGCAGAAAATATCCTGCTGGCTTTTATTTCTATTGTTGAAAGTATATAGCTCTCTCCTATATAATTCAGTGTTTTTAACCCTCCTCAAAGGGCACGAAGAGCTCTCTGCAACCCAACATGTTGCTTTACTTTTCTTAGTTTATGAAAACTCTGTATTTGGCAGGTTCATGCCATCGCAGTCCAAGTGGGCAGTGCATGGGCTCAGCCAGGGTGCACAAGGATGAAGAAAACAGCTCTTCCCAGAGCAGACGTTACAACCACAGTATTGTAGCAGCAGAGCTGCAGCGGCTGGGGGAAAAGCACAGGTTTACCACCTCTCCAGTCATGTCATGTCTGATAAACACACTGCAGTCATAATTTCAGCTTGTGTTCATAACTGTACATATAGTGATCCTGCATTATTGACCAGTGAGTTACTACTTTTCAGATGATATCTCACAAGATATATTTTATACAAAATATATTACAGTATTATATAGGGTTGCATTTGGCAACAGCCATATTACATGATCATGAGATGATGCTGAAGCAGCATCAAAGATCAGGAAAGGAAAGGAAAATAGCTATTCATGATACTAGAAATACAGCTCAAGATTGCTATGAATTGAAAGCTGAATGACTGGCACTTGTCCCAGATGTGATAGAGGCCTATGACACTGGGATAGGATTTTATTTAATAATTTTATAACCAAGAAAATAATAAAAAGAAGTGTGAAATATTTTTGTGGGACCCATAAAAATGTTGACTGCTTCCCTTGGTGATTCTGTGAAATTGGTTATTTAGTGGGCTTTCCTGTTACTCTTGGAATAAATCTCATTAATGTTTAATATAAAACACAGGTCATGCTGAAGTCTGTTACAGTATTGATGGCACTAGGTTTGGTGAGCACCTGAGCGAGCACTTGTGGAATCTTGCTAATGACAGCTGCTTAAAACTGAACCCCCCTCTTATCTAAGACAACTTCCCAAAAACAGCATATAAGGTTTGCACTGGCTCTCTGTTTAGTCTTGGAAGGTTCCTGAAGTCCCTGGGTTTTCCCGCACACATCCTGGGAGTGGCACCTGAACAGGAGTCTTTCTGAGCTGTTCTCCACAATACAGACTTGAGCATGTTCTAGTTCCAGACATTCCAGTAATTTCTCTGGCTTCTTGTTCCTCTTCAGCCTGATGATCTGTTTGCATTGTGATTCTGAAGCAATAGCAGGAGCTCATAGAAGCCTCATATAGGCCCTTTCTTTTCCTCTGTCTCAGTGAGAGTGACCTGGAGGAGGTGCTGACATATTATACACACAAGAATAAATCAGCAAGTGTTTTTCTGGGAACAAACTCCAGGACCACAAAGCCTAGCAGCAGCATCAGGCAGCCAGAAAGCAGGGCTCAAGGAGGTAAGTGCCTTGTGCAGTACTGAGACAGAGAGCTTACAAGAAACAGGGGTTGGCTCTGGTGACCCCATATAAAGTTGAGAAGAAGGTGGAACTCAAATGGGGCATTGTCTAGGTTGAAGTAGGAAGCCCAATAACGAGATGAGGAGCCTGAGTGTGATGAGTATGACACTGTCATGATAGGTTGTCCTTGCATTGGTAAGGGTGCAGAGCAGCTCAGAGCAGATGGGTCTGATAGCTGAGTGATTAGTGATTCCAACATAAGGAAGGGGTAGGTTTCTAGCTTGCAGTCTGCATTAGCTAATGCTGTGAATCAAGCCAACAGACAGTGATAATAGAAAAAGGTAGGCCACAATAAATATTAGGAAGAGACTCCAGTGTGTGTGCGGTATTCAGACCCTGAAGTCCATTTCTCATGGTACAAGCAATTGAAATTGTTCTGCTTCCTGACTTTGAAAATTCATTTCAGATCTTCCTGAGAAGGTGGAAGACGTTAAAAGGAATCAGCCCCAACATTCAGTGACAGACTCAAGTGGAGAAGGAGAACTGAGAAGTTACAAGCCCAAAGAAGCCAGGCCATCTGGTAAATCAGGGATAGAGAACCTAAAGCCCAGGGGCTAAATGTGGTCCCTGGTTTGCCTGGATCTGGCCTCTGAGGCTCAAGGCTCCCCCCTCCCAGCATTGGAGAGTCCATGCTGGCACTCCAGCCTCTCTGTTACCCCCCAGTGGGGATGGAGCACCTAAAATCTACTGGTCTGGGTCCCTGGAGGCTCTGGTGTGTGAGGGGAATATGAGGGAGTGTCTTTCTCCTTCTCAATTGGGTAAGGGTTTGGCTGTTGGGGTTTTTTTGGTTTGGCTTTTTTGCATCTTGTTTGTATGTACCCCTGATTGATTTTCTGTGCGTCAGCAGCATCCGACCCTGAAAAGTTCCCCTGCCCCGGATAAGTGAACCCATCCAAACCAAGGCAGGGGTAGTTCTGCAGTGACCGAGGCAGAAGCTGAACCTCCTGAGTAGATTTAAAACTACTTTGAGTAACTACTCTAGTCAGACTCTAGATGCAGAACAAGCTGAGAGTCTCCCAGTCCTGGCTCTGGGGGAAGATTACTGGGTGAAGAAATAAACTCTTCTGCAATTAAAGATCTCTGCAAGATATTTTGAGCCTTGGAAAAGGATATGCCTGAATCAGATCTTGGTTCTTGTCAGCCCTTGTTGGTGGATGAGGTTTTTTTTGGCTTCCTTCAGGCCAATAAACACAGCCCCTGGGCCTCATTGCTGTTGTCTTTGGGGCTCTGGAAAATTGCTTAACTTATGTAACATTCTGATTAGTTTGTTTGTATTGTTTTAACAGGGCCCCCGTCTTCCACGGAAAATGAGTCAAAATTACTCGGGTGCAATCCCCCTAATGCTTCCTCCTCTGTTTCTGGTTCCTCGATCCAGAGAAGCATCAGTTCCCAGCTGTCATCTCATACCACAGCCTCGAAAATCACACAGGTGCCTGGTCACCACTCTTCCCTGGTTCTGCTAGCTGGCTCAAAACTGACTCAGTCCCCATCCTCCCCACCTTCTTTCCAGAGCACAGTCCCTGACAACTGGTCTGTCTCCACAAATCCAGTGTCCCACCAGACGTCTAGCCATGCAGGGTTGCATCGTTGTCGGTCTAGCAGCTATACCATTGCACCCTTCTCGTCATTTCAAAGTGCTACTCAGATCTACAGCCAAAGACTATCCCGACCATCCTCTGCTAAAACAGGTGAGTGTGCTGGGATGTGTGAACATTTAATTGGGCAAATCCTGTCTTTTGTCAGTCAAAGTTTTTTTAAGAATTCATCATACTGTCCTTTTGTCCCTATGGCTGCAGTGATCAGTCTCAAGTTGGCTAACCCAGTTACCATGAAGAGTAGAGTACAGGCAACGTAATGACAACTAAGGCTGCTCAGTCAAGGCAAAGTGTATGTCATCTTTACCAGCTCTGGGATAGCCAGAAATGTATAATTTTCAGAGATGTGAATTTAGCTCCTTTCACCATTTCTGCATTCTTTTTTGAGAGAAAGAAACCTCTCCTTGCTCATAATTTTGTTTTTTTGTGCTGATGAATGGGGAATTGAACTGGTTCAGTCAGCATGGAATGGAGAGGCTCTCACCCCAAATAGCAGTGGGAAATGATATATGTGAGAAGGGGTAGTTGTATCCAACCACACAACTGATGCATAATCAACACATGGTGATCTCTTATTGTTAACCGTTTTCAGGGCAGTTTCAATAGTATAAAAGTCCTCTATGGGGCTATACAGGGTTCTTGTTGCTAGGGATTCCTATCTTTTCTCCAGGAGATTTATCAGTAGAAGTAGCAGTTAGTCACAGGTTCAGAGAATGGTCAAGGCCTCCAAGTAAAAACTGAATGGGTCGGTGTTTGAGGCAGGGGTGGGCAATCCAAGATTTTGGTAAATGGGATGGAGTTATGATCTGGGGCAGAGGCTTGGGGTATGGGATCATGGAGGGGGTATAGGGCCTAGGGAAGGGGCATAGGCAGAGAAAGTAAAGGATGGAGTTATGATCTGGGGCAGAGGCTTGGGGTATGGGATCATGGAGGGGGTATAGGGCCTAGGGAAGGGGCATAGGAGAGGGTGCAGGGTCTGGGAGGGTGTTGTGACCTGGGGGAGGGGAGGTGCTGAGGGTTTGGATGATGACCTGGGGCAGGAAGGGGTGGTGACCAGGGACGGGGAGTTGGGGAGTGGAAGAGACTGGGATGCCAGAGGCAGGCTATGGCCTGGAGACGCTTACCTAGGCAGCTCCCAGCCAGGAGCCCTGCAGGACCCTGGGGCAGGCTCCTTACCTGCCACAGCCCAAGGCTGCTCAAAATGTGACTTCTCCCTGTGGCTTTCTGTTCTGGGCACCAGAGGGGCGGGGAGGCTTCATGTACAGCTTCTGTCCCCCAGCAAAATCTCTGAGTTCCCATCTAGTCAATGGGAATTGAGAGATTTTTACCAGAAGGTGGGGGCAGCACACAAAGGCTGTGTCTACATTGGCACCCCTTTCTGGAAAAGGGATGCTAATGTAGACTTCGGAATAGCAAAATCCGCGGGGGATTTAAATATACAAACAACTTTAGAAACAACTTTCCTCTGCACACTTGGCTTCCAAACATCCACTGACTTTCTGGGATGGAGTACAAGAATATCTTCACTCTCTCTTAATCCCCATACCTTTGCTGCTCCAATTCCAGTCACTGCTCTAATACAGATAATTAATAAATGAGAACAAACAGCCAATGTCCGTTGAAACTGGGTTCCATTAGCTGTTTTATCCTGAGGTGCACGAAGATTCAGTATTGACATGGAGAAGCTGAGATGTGCACAGTGTTGCAGAAAATATCCTGCTGGCTTTTATTTCTATTGTTGAAAGTATATAGCTCTCTCCTATATAATTCAGTGTTTTTAACCCTCCTCAAAGGGCACGAAGAGCTCTCTGCAACCCAACATGTTGCTTTACTTTTCTTAGTTTATGAAAACTCTGTATTTGGCAGGTTCATGCCATCGCAGTCCAAGTGGGCAGTGCATGGGCTCAGCCAGGGTGCACAAGGATGAAGAAAACAGCTCTTCCCAGAGCAGACGTTACAACCACAGTATTGTAGCAGCAGAGCTGCAGCAGCTAAAGGAAAAGAAACCACATCAGCCTCCTTACGCAGCAGGTATGTGGGCAGTAAAGTTTCCCTGGTGACAATAGAAAGGAGTGGCATATTCTCCTGAGTTTGAGCCAAGGACTGGGACAGACTGTTCTAGGAAGAAAGAATCTCAAGGAAGCATATTTCCTTCCCTTTTGCGGTGGGATTGGGGACTAAAACTCCCTTCGATTATAGTAAATTGCATGGGGAAGTGCTTGAATCCCTATTGCTCAAATGGTCAGATTGGACAAAGTACTGGAAAATACATCGTTAGAACAAAATCTGCCCCAGCTGTCAGTAGAGAGGATTGATGGGGAAGTAGGTTTTTCTCTAATCTCATTTCTTAAAATTTTTACTCCCTTAAACTCAAATACCTCATTCCTCTGTTGACTTGTCATGCCATGCTGTACTATGGCATCATATGGGGAGTTTTTAACAGCCCACCAAAGTGTCTAGGTCAGTGCCAGTAACTGGACTATCAATTATTATGCTTATTGCCAAAAGCAGCTTGTAAGGCCTTTGTAGCAGCCTTAGCATAACTAAGTAGGCTAGGAAGGGAGGGATAGTAACCACGAGAACTAACTAAGACCCTGCACCATCCTCTTGATCTTTCTTTTAAATTGCTGATGTATGCAGTTTTGAAAAACTACAAGTTTGTTTATATTTGATTCTTGTGTGTGTTTGTCATGAGACTGCAGACTTTGCAAAACCACATCTGTATAACTAATAGCTTGAAACTTATTGCTTAAACTGCTTGCTCAGTGGTTACTGTTGATTGACAAGCTATGTGATATTTCCCGCATCATGAGTGGAAAGGGGATTGGGTCAAGTAAACTCTGCTGTAAATCCATCTTAACGTCTCTAGCCGTAGTCGGAAGTCTGGGCATCTGAAGGCTGTTGACCACTGGAGACTACTCCAAACCTTTGGAAGTAACTATTAATTTGGGGTGCTCTATATATAACCTGTTGAATTTGTTTGTGCTTGTGAGACTAAATAAAGTAAAGATTTTAAGTGAAAGAATTCTTGTGTTGTACTGCTTGTGCCAGTCATCTGTCAGAAAGATGTGCTGAACTTCCATTGATTTATTTCCTGATGCCACCTCACATAAAGTAAAGTTACCAAGAGTTTTGGGTGTAGAAGACCCTGGATAACAGCATCATGTGGGAATCAAACAGTATCAAACTGATGAACCCGGCAGAACGTGTCTGTTTCTGTAGAAATGCCTGGGCAAGCAGAATGATAGCACAGGAAGTTTAGAGAGAACACTTGACAGGCTAATGGGGTTTTCATAAAACATATTGCATTCAATTCCTAACACCATTTTGAAGTTCAAGGTAGTGTACCGTATGGCAACCCTTTTGCTAAAAAGGCCATCATTCTAAGAACGCATGACCAGGCCCGCCGATGGGTGAGGCAAAGGGGGCAATTGTCCCGGGGCCTGACAATTCAAAGGGGTCTAGGGCTCCCAGCCGTCAACATTGCATCTATTGCTGTTTGAGGAGAGCTCAGGTGGGTTCTGGATGGGGATATTTTCTGATGAATAGTAGTTTGTTGTAGTGAATTGTATACACTGCTGTTCTGTTCCTGTTTTAGTGTGTGTTTTTGAATATTTGTTGGGGTGCCTAGCACTGGGTGTGTCTTGTTTATATTTTAATATTAAAAAGAAAATTTGGGCACGTGGGTGACTATCAGGGATTGAATAGATTATGGACTCTTCTGTCTCTAAGTTAATGGTCCCACTTCATTCCATGTAGCTTTGACCAAATCAGTCAGTTCATGTAGCTAGAGTTGTGTATCTTGCATCAGTTTTCTTTGCCAGTATAGAACTGGCCTAAATCTGATGTGACATTGGTGGGAGCAATGAGGGAAGCTTGAATTGCTGTGCCCATATAATGAAAAATCTATATAATTCATTCTGATTCTGAAACATAATGTTTTGATTGACCTGAAACCATCTCCCTTCCCCACTGTTTGGAATGGAAGAGATTTCAAAATTGTGAAGCTTTCCCTGAAGCGAAAAATCTGATTCCCACTATTCTACTTCTTAATGTCTCCTAGCTTTGCATAGAGAGCTTCAGCTGTTCTTTGTCCACTAAATAGCTGATGGGATTCTCATGGCTTTGTCTGGCTTTCCTTTTATATCATTACTGATGAGACACATTTGACTAAAGATAGGGGGAGAGACAGGAAAATAAACACTTGAGTACCTGTCCTTGGTGGTATAAAGATGAAAGACTGGAGTGTAGCCTGATGGTATGTATTGCTAGGCATCATCTCAAGGCATTGAGAGGCATCTCAAGGCATCTCAAGGCATTGCCCAACTAAGAGTACCTTAAGTTACAGAATGGCAAAGCAGAAAAACCCAAGCAGGAAGCCTACTGATGAACTCAACTCTTCCTCTCCAGTTGCCGTCAGGGGCAACTTTTCAGTTCTGTGCTGGCCTTTGTCTAGAGACATTCTGTCTCCTGAGTGACTGGTAGTTGCACTTTAAGACATACACAATTTTCTCAGCCTAAAAATTGGTAAAAAAAACCTCAAAAGGTAACAGTTTAGAGGCATCACAACATAACTGTAAAGTCCAATGAGACCTAGCTGAAATAGAGACAATCTTGTTACATAGAAGGCACCTGGATAAGAATATCACTTATTAGTAAAGTTGTTTGAAATCACTTCCATAGGCTTGGAGACCATGTAGTTTAGTTGTGAGGAGGCCAATCTGTACCACAGAAACTTGGATTGGATTTCATCATCGCTAATTCATTATTTGTTGTTTTAGGCCAGTGATACTCAATAGGCAGCCCATGAGCCAGATGTGGCCTGCCAAGGCTTCCTGTTATGGGCCACCATGTGCTGACTATCATTTGCCTATGACTTCTTTAGTAAGTAACATATTGGCAGTGCTTAATTGCTTGGTTTGTAATGAAAGAGGTGCTGGGGCTCTGCCCTGGCAAGACCTAGCACAAATTAAGCATTGACTGACCAGCAGGAGAGTGACAGCTGCTGGTTGGGTGCTCATCTCTGAAGGCAGCATCACTGCCAGCATCAGCACAGAAGTAAAGGTAACATGGTCTGGCATGGCCACTCTTATTTTTGTGCTGTTGCAGACAGCAGCACTACTTTCAGAGCTGGATAGCCAGAGAGTGGTTGGTGCTGGCCAAGAGCTCATAGGTACTGGGTTGGTAAACTGCCAAGCCTAGAGGTGCCAGAATTCAGCCCTAGCCTAACAAATCCTGGCATAAACTGCTTATTGGATCTGAAATTCTCATGATAGCATCAGCTCTGAACTAGTTAGGGTACCACCTATGTTCCCTGTAAGCTGAATGCTTCAGCGGCCACCCAGGAGAGATTCAAATGCTGCTTAGCAGATTAGCAGAGCACGCACAGTACCATAGCCATTAGCATATGTTTCTACTGGAGGAGCACATCTGCACATGCTTCTGTGCACATCACAAAATTTATTCCACACACAGATGGAAACAAATTAGAGAGCACTTTGGACGCCACTCATTTTTTTCATTAGTGAAGGAAATGGAATGAAAAATGATTGTGTGGAAGTAAATGCAAAGCCAACAGCAAAAAAGGAGCTCTTACCTCAAACTAGAAGTGGATTTTCTTTTTATTACGCCACCTCATTTAAACACAAAACCTTTGTGTTTAATATTCCCAAACTACTTTATACATCTGTAAAGTCATCAATGTAAGACACAACTTTGAATTAAAGCACAGTAACTTCAATGCAGCCTATCTTCCTGGCAGTGTTGCAAGACATGACAAAATTGCAAATCTGAAGTCTTCGTATCACACTTCAAATATCATTCTCACAACATCATCGACTATCCAGGAAAAAGCAACAGCTCCTTCTCTTTGAATAATATTTGTACTAGCTAAAAAAGAAAAAGGATTTCCTGGATGCTGAGTTTATGAAGGAGTACATGTTGGAAATGCTGAGGAGCTTTTTGCCAGAGATGAAAAACTTTGTGAATCATGTAAAGCAAGGTCACCTGACTGATTCCACAGCATTGTGAAGGTTGGAGGTAATTTATGAGTGTTGTTTGTCATCACTGCTTTCTGATTTAAAACCCACCAAATTAGGGATGTAAAAGGTTAACCTATTACCCGTTAAGCATAATCCTTACTAGCATGCTTACCGGAATAAAAGGTTAACTGACAGCCAGGCTAGAGCAGCCCCCTGCTGGACACAGGCAGGAAGCTGCTCCAGCCCAGACAGAGCAGCACCCTGCTCACAGCACAGTGCAGTAGACCTGGCCTGAGCAACTCCTGCCCACAGCACGGCCAGATTGGAGCAGCCCTCCCTGCCACGCGTAGGGAGCTGCTCCAATCTGGTTGGGCTCCTTGCCCACAGGATCTTGGTTAACAGGTTAAATGTAATGTTTTACCGGTTAATTTTTTTTTAAAGTATTTTACAACCCTACATCAAATACATGTCTCTTACAGTGGCTGAATCAAGCAATGTGAGTAATGCTTCCCCAGCTATTGCTTTTTGTTAGATTTTATTATGGTGAAATTTTCAAGGAGGAGTTTTTGTGCTTAATACCATTAGAAGCCTACACTATAGGAGAGATCATTTTTGAAAATGTAAAAGGCTTTTTTGAAGAAAAAAAATGGTTAAGATCTGCAGAAAGTAAACTTGCTTTTTACAAACTGAGTTCCCTCCAT